GTAGTGTTTTTTTTTTCCCTAGCTTTATGCATTATGTATCTTAGAGTCTATTCACTTGCTTTTTTCCTTAGAATTTTTTTTTTTTTTTTTTTGCTTCTCAGACTTGATAATTTCAGTTTTGTCTTCATGGTCACTGATTCTTTTTTTTATCCTTACCCGAGGACATTTTTCCATTTTTTGTTCAGATAGAGTGGGAGCGGGAGAGAGGAAGAGAGAGAGAGAGAGAAAGAAAAACATCGACGTGAAAGGGACACATTGAGTGGCTGCTACCCGCATGACCCACGACCCAACCAGGGCCAGGGACAAACCGCAACCGAAGTACATGCCCCTAGCGGAACTGAATCTGCGTCTCTCTTGACCTCAGGCTGATGCTCATGTGCCCTTAGCGGGAACTGAACCCGGATCACTCTGGACCTCAGGCTGACACTCTAACCATTGAGCCAAACTGGCCAGGGTGGGATCACTGATTTTTTCTTTTGCCTATTAAAGTCTGCTGTTGAACACCTCTGGTGAATTTTAAAAATTTAGTTATGTGTTTTTTTGAATTTGTTTCTTTTTTTATCATTTCTATATCTTTAAGTTTGATTTCTAGAGATTTTTTTGTTATTGTTCCTTTGAATGGGCCATGATTCTCTGTTTTGTTGTATGCTTTGCAATCTTCTGTTGATAATTGAACATCTGAAAAAACAAGAGCCACATCTTCTAGTATTTTTGGCTGACTGGCTGCAAGGACTGGCTGCAACCACTAGAGAGGATCACTTGTGCAGTGGCCCACCTCACAGAGCAGGTGTTGCTTCAACCTTGCTCTGGTGCCCGCTGAGTCTGCCCCTTGAGTGTGTCACTTGTGGAGGTAGTTGAGTGGTGCTTCATTGTGGTCTGAAGCTGTTCACCAGATGCACTGGCTCTGGTGGCTCCCAGGAGGTGTAGGCCAAGGTCAGCTACCACCTGTGTTCTGCTTGGTGCCACCTGGCATGAGCTACAAAGTGTTCTACAGATGCTAATACTTGTGCTGGGTTTGGAGTTGCCCAGGAAGAGGCCAGGCTGTGAACCAAGGTTGGCTGCTGCATGCTGGGCCTGGAGCCACTTAGCAAGAGGTATGGGGCATGCCAAGGTTAAGTCTGAAACACCAACCAGGATGGGCAATTAAAGATAGAAATTGGAGGGTGAATTTCATTACAAGACAGAACACACCAACATAGCACCTTGTGTCTAGATGTGATGGTTTTCAAATCATGGGCATGTGAAAAAATTTACAAGGATTTTCAATTTTCATAATATAATACTATGGACATAGGCCAACAAAAATAATTATAACAAAACATTTATATAGCTTACTATGTTTCAGGCACAATTCTTAAGTACTTCATATATTTAAAATGAGAATGTAAGTCTATAACTCTTTTTAAACTTGGATAGTGACCTGGATTGCAATGTAAATATAAAATATTCGTACACATGTCTTTGGAGAAGTGCACATGTCTTTGGAGAAGTAGATCTTTTTGGTAACCTTAAAGGTATCAAAAAAGGGGAAGTGAAAACAAAATGATACTCCATTGATCTGTCCTTGATGAGATGAAATGCGTTCATAGTATAGTCCCATTCAAGTTTTTGCAGTATTTTTAACAAAGCATACTACTATATTAAGCAAGTTATTCCTGAATAACTTTGTTAAATAAACTTGGTTAATCATGTCATTAAACGTAGAGAAGAGATGAAAAGCATAGATATATCTTCCACAGGTACACTCCTTGCATCAACAGATATAAGTCACATCATTCCTAAGAAGTTTCTCAAAACCAGCTACAATGGAAAAAAAGCTGAGTGAATTATTGGCAAAATTCTTTATCATAGCCCTTATTAAAATCTTATATTGCTGTGGACAGTGTAGCTTAGTTGGTTGGGCATCATCCCGTGTATCAATAAGTTACTGGTTTGGTTTCTGGTCAAGGGGAGATGCCCAAGTTGCCAGCTCCATCCCCGTTAGGGAGCCTGAAGGAAGCAGCTGATTGAAGTTTTGCTCACGCCTCTCTCTCTCTTTCTCTCTCCCTCTCTCTCTAAAAATCAATAAACTGTTCTTTTAAAAAAAAGTCTTATATTGCTAATGGGACAATAGCATACATTGTAAAAGAGGAATCACTTCCATCTGTGGGTGTCATCAGATACTATGCTTTGCATTCAGGTGAAACTGCTTATTTTTTGTCTGTTTAAAATAGTAATTTCAAGTAATGGAAAATAAGTTCTTTGTTATTAATAATCATTTTGAGAGTAGTAATGTAGTCTCAATATTTCCAGAGTACCAACTCTATGTGGCCTGGAATAGTGTTATTACTGAATGAAAGAACTTAAGCCTGAATGCTAATTAACATACTACTTTTTCAATTAGTTGTAAGGATGTTGCCTTATATTGCTCCAATGTGGAAAAATATTAGTGAAAATTTTGAATAAGGCCAAATATGGCTATCATAAACATTTTCAACATCTTTTATGAGAGGGAAGTTATCCTCTAACTTTTTGAAGTATAGAAAGAGATAACGTTTTTCTGTTTTTATAAGTGTTACATCTGCATGCTGTGTTCAGTATCTTGACAGGCAGAAGCTTATGCTTCAGTGTAGCACCAACTAAATGTTGAAAATAAAGTATCCAGATTTCCTAAGACCAAAGAGCCTCACCACTGTGAATATGACTTTGTTTTTTTTATCCTCACCTGAGGACATTTTTTTTGCTATTTTGTTCAGATAGAGAGGGAGGGAGAGAAAGGGAGAGAGAGAGAGAGACATTGACGTGAAAGGGACACATCTAAAGGTTGCCACCCACATGACCCAACCAGGGCCGGGGACAAACTGCAACTGAGGTATGTGCCCTTAGCGGAACCGAACCCTTAGGGTCTCTCTGAACCGCAGGCCGATGCTCTACCCCCTGAGCCAAACCGGCCAGGGTGTGAATATGACTTTTTAAACATTTGATGACTTTCTTTAATTTGATAAAGTATGAAATGAATGCTCTATTTTACAACTATATCCACATTTTGTAATAAAGTTGGATGAAATACTTTTCCAATTTGAATGCATTCAGAGTTGAAGAGGACTATTCACCACTCTTTTTCCAGGTTGAAATACTCAAACTTCTAGCTTTCCAGAGTTTGAATGTGATACATACACATAAATGTAGTGTCTGAACAGTGCTAAAAATTATCTTTGATAAGAAACCTTGGAATAATTTTTGGATCATAGTTGATCCAGTTATCACCTATTTGATGGATGCAGGGTACTTGCTGCCATGTTTTTTAGTTTTTGGAGAGATTTAATGGAACTAGAACGAAAAAGGAAATCAACCTAAGGTGAAAATTTTTTTTTTTTTTTTTTATCCTCACCCGAGGATATTTTTCCATTTTTTGTACAGATAGAATGGGAGGGAGAGAGAGGAAGGGAGAGAGAGTGAGAAACATCGACGTGAAGGGACACATCGAGTGGCTGCCACCTGCACGACCAACCAGGGCCGGGGACAAACTGCAACCAAAGTACGTGCCCGAACCCGGGTCTCTCCGGACCGCAGGCCGACGCTCTAACTGCTGAGCCAAACTGGCCAGGGCCTAAGGTGAAAATTTTAATGCAAGGTATAGAAATGCCTATAAGGTTTCTATGTTGAAAGATTACAAAATATCCTTTATATCTAATTTGAATCTTATTTTTTATTAATCTTGTTTTTGTTTTCATTATTTGGAAGTTATGATGCATCTTTTCAAATCTTTGCTTTAAGTTGGTAATCCCAGCTGAACTCTCAATTACATGGTTAACAAACACCACAGGGTAGTTGTTTTTTAGGTAATTCAATAAAATAGCCATTTATTGAACATATTCCATATTTAAAGCTGTGGGTAAATTTTGTTTTTTAAAGCATAGTTAGAATACTTTCTAGACATAATATTTACTTAGTTATGTTGGGTAAGACACTTAAAATTTCTGACCCTTGCTTTCCTCATTTGTAAAATTGGAATTGCTAACTAAAGGTGCTTGTACAGTAATTGACATTACCTCATTTAATCTTAGCAATGCCTTGTGAGGTAGGTATGTTATTCCTTTTTACTTTCATGGGAAAGACAAAAACATGTTACAAGTTTTTGTGTTTTTTTTTTTTTTTCCTGAAATCTCTAGCATATAGTATTTTAGTCTGTAGCATTTAACATGGATTCGTAAGGAAAAGCTTATGTTCTGCCCTAGCTGGTTTGGCTCAGCAATTAGAGCGTTGGCCCATGGACCAGAGTCACGGGTTCAATTCCGGTCAAGGGCACGTACCTTGGTTGTGGTTCAGTCCCCAGTCCTGGTTGGAGTTATGCAGGAGGCCACCAATCTATGTGTCTCTCTCACATTGATGTTTCTCTCTTCCTCTATCTACTCCCCCCAACCCATTCTTTCTGTTAAAAAAAAAAAGCTTATGTTCTTATTTTCAGAAAACTTGTGGTAAGCTAGTATGTATTATTATATTGCCACTTATTTCAGGCTTTTGTCTAAAGTTCTTAATGATTGTAGATTTCTATGGGGTTCTGTAAAAAGGATTAAGGTGTAAGCAGTGGAAAAGAATAGTAATACTATAGAGGTTAACTGAGTGAACTGCTAATTTGGCTCTAGGATATCTTCCTCAGTGGCTTCTTTTACTTATAGGTACTTTGGAAAGCTCACCAGAGAAGTAATAAGTTCCCTCGGCCATGTTTGATTTTGCTTGTGGGTGGGCTGTCCATTTCAGAAAGAGATAAATTGAGAGTGAGTGCTTTTTATACTCATGGTATCATATAATTCCACTTAGGTATCAGGAGGGTTAAGGTAAACCCTAAAAAAATGCTGCACTGGTTTTGGATAGCTGGATATGGTGATAAAGATAAGTTTAAAAGTAGAGCTGTAACCACATTAATAAATACTTCTATAAATATTTTTTAATACTTTGAATTTGAATTACCATGCCATATTTATTCAAAATGTGATATTGTTCTTGCCATTCTTTGACAGACCCCTTATCCCTCTGGACAGAATGCAGGTCCAACCACATTGGTATACCCTCAAGCCCCTCAGACAATGAATTCGCAACCTCAAACCCGTTCTCCGGTAAGTAAGCGGAAGCTTGTTCTAGATAATATGTCCACAAAAGTTTGTGTTTGTAGTAGCTTGGGTTCCTTTGGCTAATATTTTTACTTAATTTTGGAAATTTGTCCCACAGATAATTTATTATTGTTACTATATTGGTTAGCATTGCATTTTTAGACTTTTTGCCATGTAGTTTAAGTATTAAGAAAAAGAAGGAATGGAACCTTTTATCTTCTTTTACTTTTTAGTGACATGGTTTTTAAAAAATTCCAGTTGCATTCAAGTTCTTTTCATTTTTTAAATTTTTAGTCGTACTATTCAAAATTCAGGAAAAGAATAAAGCACGATGATTTTAAAAGTAAAAGAAATTTCATTTATTAGATTCAAATTCCATTGTTCGAGAAGGACTTCTGAATTGTTGTCACTAGATCAGTTCAAGCTATTTGACAGTGTGGACATATGCATGTTATACACCCATGGTGTATTTTTTTTTTTAAATGGTAAAATGTCGTACCAGTGTAAATGCTATCATCCTCTTTGCTCATCCTTTACATGGATTGCGATAAGTATTGCAAAGACTGTGGCTTCACTCAGGGTTCGTCCTTCTGTTTCACAAAAGAATATAGTAGCTTCAGCTGTCTATTCCTTAAAACATCGTTTCCTGCCCTGCATGATTAGTTTTTGCTAGAAGGTGCTTCTGTAACATTTTATATTGTATCTCACATCCCTACTTGTACCTCAGCTCTGTGCTTTCCTCAGAATATAGGGATCTTCTTTTGGTTCCCCACCCCTGCTGTTTTGTCCATAGTACAGGAATGTTTCATTGCATTAGCTTTAATTCATTTAGTTTTATGCATGCATTTAGAAATGTTGAAATGTATGAAAGAACTAGGAGAGCATAGCCTGCACCAAAATGTAAGCTCTTTCTTACCCTCTTCCTATCTTCCTTTTCACTATTACCCTCTTCTGCAATACCTGTTCTTAGATCCTGGTTCTCCCCCGTGGGTGGAGGAACCATTCTAAAGAGGTGGGACTTTGGTCCTAGTTGCCTGTTTGCTTGTCTGTTGCGCTCTCTCTCTCGCTCTCTCTCTCTTTCTTTCTCTCTTTCTCTCTCTCTCTCTCTCTCCCTCCCTCTCTTTTCTTCCTGAAATAGTCAGCAAAATGTCTGATGCAAGTTTTGTAATAAGAGTGCTTTGGGGATGTGGACACTTGAGTACTTGGAGTGGGCCTGAGATCTCACCAGATTAATTTAGATAGGCCCGGGTTCTAATCATTAAACATGGAGCATTATGGTAAGCTCTTATTGCAAATAGTTCCATGGCCCTCGTTGCCTCTAACCCCCCTTTTATAATACTGGGGGAAAAAAGATTTAAATTTACATGGTTAGAACTGGCGCAAAACCTGACTGAAGAGCTGCATCTCTAAACCAGTTTTTTTGACAGCCCAGCAGAACAGTGCCAATACATTGCACAGACAACTGGAAGAGGAGGAAGGTTTTGGAACAGACTCCCGTTTACAGGTCCTTGGCTGGAAGAGGCTGGATAAAATACTGCATTGTAAGCAATATAACAAACTGTACTTCTTGCAGGCAGTGGTGCCTCTGGCACTCATTATTTTTGACCACATCCATTTATTGGCTGATGAACAGAAATGCATTGATTGCTTCCTCTCTGAAAGTCTAACCTAGCATGGCAGTTTCTGCCAGGCATAGTGGGGAAAAGAAGAACAAATTGGGTGGGTCTTCTCTATTGGGAATTAGATAGAAATAATTTGGAGTTTAGATTTTTCTTTATTTTAAACTTGAAGAGGGACATTTCTTTCATATAAATTTGATTTTAAAAGACAAATTTCAAGGCTTCTTTTTCCCTCTTTACATTTTATAATCAGATATCAAGGGGGAAATTGTCTGTAGTTGTCAGCCATTTTTCTGTGGTCATAAACTCTTCAGATACTATCCTCTATGCAGTTTTTGCCATCCGCTCTGCTAGTGACCATTACCACCTACATTACTAAAAACCACACCCATAACATCCCATTACATATACCCCAAAACAAGTGCAAGACTAGCAGACCCCAGACTACTCTTGCTTGTTGTTTTGGGCCCAGTTTTCTTTATTTCATTTATATTGGTGCTGGGAGGGTGAAGTTTGGGATATGAAATTTGGCAGGATTGCATTTTCTTTTTACATCCCAAGTTGCCATAGTCTAGTCTCATCCATCCCACAGCTATCTCAACTTGTGAGGAGAGGTAAGCTGTTGCACTAAGGAAGTGACCCTTCCCATGGCTTTGTAGAGCAGCTAAAGCTTATTACTCCATTCTATTTCTGCATTAATGGGCCATTGGCAATTGCACGGTTTAGGCTTTTTCTGTTCTTCCCTGGACAGCTGCCTTTGCAATCCAACTGGCTTCAGGGGGCCTCCCTCCCTCCCTCCTTCAGGTTATCTTTGTGTCTGTATTTCTGTTTGATACTTCTTAATATCTTAAATTCAAATTGTTGAAATGTTGTTTAAAAGTAAAAATATATGGATAAGCTATTTTATGTTCCATTTTCTGGTTGCACTGGAACTCTTAAACAGTAGTTTTCTTTTAAATAGCCTCCAAAATAGGTGAAGCTATTGAATACTTAATTGGGAGAGGTGGACAGTTTGACTTTTGCAGTAACCTGTTACCATGGTTATTTTGATATTTTGTGGTGCTAAATGCCAAATTGCATCATGTTATGTTGGCCATGCCCAGTTACCAACTGTGCGCAGAAGAGTGAGTGAGTGAGTGAGTGAGTGAGTGAGTTGAGTGAGTGGATGGGTGGCATTAACATTGGATCCAGGTTCACAGAAGGCTGCTTTTCTTATTATCTACAGTCCTTACCATCTTAAAGACCCCTCTTTAAAAAAAGAAAAAGAAAAAGAAATGAAAGTTTCTATTTTTAATATAAGCCAGCAGCTACTACAGTTTGTTCTGTTGCTTACAGTTACCCATAGGATTACGACTATTGTCATTTCAAATGAAAAACTCAATAGCCAATGGTGACTAGTGCAAAATAGACTAGGGTACTTTCCTACTAACTTAAGTTGTGCTTTTTAAAACATATATGTGTAATTTTATAAGATACTCCTCTTGTTCATAGAAAGTTCTTTTTCAACCAGAACATTCAAAATATATAAAGTTTCAGCTTTTATTTTAGAGCCTTAGAAAAGGCACTTTTCTGTGGAACAGTGATAAGACAGGTACTGCTATACTCAGGTTAAGTTTTTAACATGCCCCTTCTCGTTTGTTTTCTTCAAAGTGTCGTTAAGAAACATCTCACTTCACCCGCTACTTTCATACCACAGGGTGGTATTGCCTATTCTTGAAACATTATGTTTGTATTAGAGGTATGATTGGTTTTCTTTTCATAATTGGAAAACTGAAATTGTAGACCTCAGTTTCTTTGAAGAGGAAATGTTCTGCAAGAACTATAGCTGCCATTATCATTATTCTGAAAAACTTTCGCTCATAATGGATGACCTAACATGCTCTAATCGTATAGATCATAGAGAACTCATCGAATTATGCTGAATAACTTCAAAATGTGTTAAGGCTCTTTTCATTATTTGAACAATAAGTGATGCCATTTTAGCTTCTGAAGTGAATTCTTTTTTTTTTTAATCCACCTGAGGACGTTTTTTTGCTATTTTGTTCAGATAGAGTGGGAGGGGGGGAGAGAGAGACATCGATGTGAAAGGGACACATCGAGTGGTTGCCACCTGCACGACCCAACCAGGCCTGGGGACAAACTGCAACCAAGGTACGAGCCCTTAGCCGTAACCGAACCCAGGTCTCTCTGGACCGCAGGCCGATGCTCTAACCACTGAGCAAAACCGGCCAGGACCTAAAGTGAATTCTTGAAGCTTATCTTTATCTATCTCCTACATTGTGGCATGTGCTTCACTGGAATTTTTTAAATATTTTAATATGAAATAATGACAGTTGGGGAGATAATTCCCAATCTCTTGCAAATACTATTGCAGATAACTAAATCCTGGGTATGAGGGATTGTTTCTTAGTTAATCTTTAGTCCAATTCACCTGTAGTGATGAGCTGGCAGAGGAAGGCTCTATAGGAAATAAAACAACTGAAAAAATATATTTTAGCTCCTTAAATGTATTAAATAAAAATCCTGTATGGTTTGCATTCAGAACTGCTTTCTAAGTATTTTCTTTTCACTATTAAAGAGGGTGGTTAACATTCTCAATAGTTAATATATTAGTAGATGATACATGAAGTATATACCTGACTATTTTTCTGTCGTTTTTAGTGAAAATCACACTGGAAGCTCAGTTTTGTTCTGATGAAGAATTATTTGGTCTTAGAGGTTTAATATTTAAAATTTTATGGGTGAATAGGCCTTTTCTTCCATTCTACACTAGGGAAAGTAAGAGTTGAACCACGTATAATCTGTTGTCAAGTACTCTGGGTTAGCAGAGAAGCTATGTTTTCTTTTGTGTTTCTTCTTAGTATCCGATAGCAGTGAGCATGTATGTATAGTGTTGTGCTGTTGTGTATAAATTGTAAGTGAGAAATTTGAGTTCTTTTATTTCTTTTTCTTCTTGAGCTTATAATAGTACAACTGATTAATAATGTTAGAGAGTGATGATCTTCACTAGCTGTGTGTTTTGATATGCCTGGTATTAAACTTTAGTCATTAAGTGCATTTAAAATATAATTATATATTTAAATATATTTTTATAGGTTATAAGTCTATATTTAATATAATATAATCTATAAATATAATATATAAATAAAATTTTATTCTTTAACTCCAAGAAATGAAGGAAGATACTAAATCTTCCATTTCATGTGAGTTATGCCATTTAACTTAAGTAAATTTGATATCAGTCCTGTTACATTCTTTATTTTCTGTTGGGCAGAATAATAACCTCCTGGCTACTGTGATGTGAAAGCATTTCTCATTCCCTCCAGCTATATCAGTTGCATAAGCACACTTGACTTTTCATACATTTGTCTTAATATAACCACTTAGTGTTTCAAAAAGTGTTTTAATTTTAGGTTTTTAAAAAAATATTTCTATCAGAGAAGCACCCTTACCCATGCCTAACAGCTTAGCTGTTTCTCCCAGCTGATAGATGGCAAACTATTTCTGGTAGTGGTGTTAACCTGTTCAATCTTAGTACCTGTCTGTCACTGTCCTGCAGCAAAGCTTTGACTGTTTGTGTTCTTTTTTTCTTGTGGGTTTTTTTCTTTTGGCATATTATGTGACATTTTGGTTTTTGTTGTGGTGTTTCTGACTCTTTGTGCCTTTCCTTTTGTGTTTGTTTTCCCTCCTTTTCTCAGTTTGCAGCGGGGCCTCGACCTGCCCATCATCAGGTACTGTACCCTTGCCCCTTGACTATCATCCTTAACTAATAGGTGGGGGCTTTAGTAGCTGCTGACTCTTAGAATGCTGCCATTCCATGGAACCATCCCAGCTGCTCTTCGAGAGTAGCTTCAGTCTGATGTAATTCAGTTCTTTTTGTCCTTTTGTTAACAAACCCATTTGCTTCTGTTTATGGCACAACTGGAAAATGAGTTATTTTTTCTGTGCAAAAATAATTGCTTTGAATTTAGAGAACTTTGAAAAATTTTAGATATACTAAATTTAACTGAATGGAACGGGCACCATTCTAAGGGTTTTCTTTTAACATTCTGATGTAACTTGTATTGATGTGTATAAAATAGCATTAGTATTTCTAAAAGCACTTAATCTCAGTTACTAACCTAGGCCTAATAACAAATTAACAATAATATACATTCATTTACTACATAGAATTATCTTTATTCTTAGGGTATATTGAAAATATTTAATTTTAATATTTTTAGCCTATTGGTTCTTTTAAATGAAATAATTGTATAAATTAAAATTTCAAAAATGTATACACTGATACTAATTTATATAGCAGAAATTTTATACTACAGGGTATGGTTTGAGAGAAAGAAAAAGACTTGCAGGGTGTTTTTCCCCCAAAGAGTTTTATGTAGTGTCCTGAAACATTTTCTTCTGCTGTAGTAGAAAGAGCCTAGGCTTTGGAACCTGATAGAGCCTGGGTTCGTATTACTAGCTCTACTGTATAATTAGCTGAGTTAAGCAGATCTTTTTCTGATCCTCAGTTTCCTCATATGTAAAATAAGGATAAATACCCTCTACATTAGAGATAATATACTCAAGTCGTCTGACACAAAGTAAGCAGTCATATCTGGTAGCTATTTTTAATGTTATGCAAAATAGTGCAGTTTGATAAAACGAGAGCAATTTATTGGTGTTTAGCTGTGGTATTATACTTTGAATTCATTTTACGGAGTAAATGGGTATTGTCAACGGAAGGCTTTCATTGCCTAACAGTGATTTAATATATGTCTCTATTTCTCAAAATACAGTTTTTCCAATTTAGAGGATATAAAGCCAAGCAAAAAATGATACTTTGCAGGAGAACTCGGAGATGGTTGTGTGAAGTGGATGGCAATTCTTTGGGTTTGATAAAGAAATGAAACTCGAGGGTATATTCTAGTATCAAGAGATAGTATTGTTGCCCTGGCTGGTGTGGCTCAGTTGGTTGGGCATAGTACCATGCATTGAAGGATTGCTGGTTTGATTCCTGATCAGGGCACATGCCCAGGCTGTGGGTTTGATCCCCAGAAGGGGGAGTGCAGGAGGCAGCTGATAGATGTTTTGCTCTCACATTGATGTTTCTTTCTCTCCCTCTCTCTTCCCCTTTCTCTCTCTCTGAAAATCAATTAAAAAAAAAAAAAGGAGTTAGTATTGTTATAGTACTTTAAGAGCTTGGACTTTAGCATTAGCTAGACTTCAGTTTGACCCTTCCTTATTAAGTGTGTGTTCTTGGTTAAGTTGTTTACAGTTCTTAGCTCAGTTTTCTCATCTGTAAAATGGAGACAGTATTAATACCATGTCAGTACTGATGTGAAAAGTAAATGAGATAATGCAAATAAAATAATTAGCACATACTTAGTATGTGTTTGGCACATACTAAGAATCTAGAGGGCGAAATGACTAATAATTAATAAAAAAAGATAATCCCTTAGGTAAAAAGATTGATTATAATTCTTTTTTATTTTTTAAATTTAGTCAAGGGTTGTAGAGGCAAAGGCTTAATTTTCAGTCTGGGGTCAAGCCAGATACTCCTAACAGAGAAGCCTGGGAGATCTCTGCTCAAGAAGCAGAGTAAAAAGAAACTACTGATTCAGAAAAATTATTTTTGAGCTCTTTGATATAAGGTTAAGTGTTTATATAATCTGTGTTCAGTAACACTGGTCCTCAAATAGGGATGTTGTATTTAAGCCTTTATAAATAGCTTTGAGAAAACTTGTTTTTTAAACCTTCTTCTTAGCCTAAAGGCTTGTCATACATTTTGTCTTTTCTTATTTCCAACAAGCAAAGAAAACTTTAAGGAATCTTTGTGAGAAAAGGATGATTTCAGCCCTGGAATAGTTTTTCATGTGTAATATAACTTTAAAAAGTATTGGCAGAGTGGTCTTTCATTTAACTGTAAGATGATGCTTGTGAAATTGTGGTGTGTTTCAACTAATAAAAAAAATAGAACTAAGCGTGTGTGTATATTTACTATTTAGCAAAGAAAATAATTACTCCCCAACATTAGCTCTTGACTATGGGTTCTTGAGATGCAGGAGAAATCTAGAGCATTGCTTTTGGGTACCAAAACCTCTTTTTACTGTGACATACTTGCTTTCTGAACAGTGAAAAGGAAATATATAACCTTGGCTCAGGCAGCAGTGTAGAGAAATAGGGGAGGGGGTGGAGCAGAGAGGTAAGCCTAGCCAGTGTTATGGCATTGATAGGAAAATTTGCTGTTAATGTATCCACATGTGTAGGTAGGTGCCAATTTGGTTTGTTTCACTATGGAATAGGTATGAGCATTTTCTATGGGATAACCAGTTATGAAAAATTGCCCTGTAATTGCAGTTTATTTAGTAACCTTTGGGCTCTAAATGCCAGTAGAATTCCCCCAGAGACAATTAAAAACAAAACACACTTTCCTACATTTTGAAATAACCCTCTGTGGAGAGTGAGATAACTATTTACCATTTGAGAATCATATGCTGAAGTCTGTATTTAAGAGTATCTTCTCAGCTCTAAAGTCAGGTGGAGACCTAAACCCTGAGAGATTCATGGAGGAGATGCTCATAATACAAAACAGGATGTAGACAGTTACATAATAAAAACAAAACAGTGAAAAACAAACATTGAGTGATATATAGAGAATACATTTTTAAAGGGAAAACACCTGTGTCCTGGTATATTTTTGCTTTATCGTGCTTAATATTTACAGTTGAATCAAAGGCACAAATGATTGTTTTCATCTGTAGTTGTATGCTTTGGCCAGAAAGAATTAAATCAAGGGTTAGAATGAGAATTAGCTTTGAATAGTTAGAATTAGTGATAAGATTTCTCATTTCTCCTTTATTGCATTATTCATCAGTCGATACCGTTCTGATCACATATCCTTTCACAGTGTGATCTTTTTTTTTTTTTAACCAATTAATTGATGCTGGATGATGCTTCCTATGTTGCTGTTTCTAAAGTCCAATAGTAAATATATAACTTTTTATATATACTTAATAACCATTAGTCCTATCAACATTTCAAAGAAAAAATAACTTATTTATGTAAGCTACTTAGTGATAATTGCCATCCAGTTTAGTAATCTAAAACCTATATATTTTCTCTTCTTTGTAAAATGATGTTACTTGAAATGAATCAAGTAAGATTTTTGGATAGTAAATATTTTTAGTTTAATAGAACCAAGAAAGTATTATAGGATGTGTTTCTTGTACTTTTATTTAGAAGATTTTTATATGTGGGCAACTAGGGCTCCTTTTGAGTCCCTCAACTCAGGAGTACCATGCTTTATAATTAGAGTTATTTCAGTCACATTTCTGTGATACTGTTAGTTTTTGGCTTTTGCAGGGATTCTTTAGGATGTTCTCTTTTATTTTCTTTTGCATTTTATAACAAGGAAATAACAGTTTTCTTCAGAGGTAAAAGAAATCCTAAGTAAGTTTATATGCAGAATACCTTTGGCTTTAGAACTATGTCAACTATTTTTGTTTGGATGTTTGAGAATCCTAAGGTAATTAGAAACTGAAAGAACAGAACGTACACTCAGAATTAAAAACAAGCCACTTGGTATAATGTAGATTCTGACTTGTGTTGATTTCATGTCATTGAAATTTGTGCAGTTGTGGTTTAAAGTTACTTATATTCCTGTCTTTATTTGACTTTAGGGCTTTACAAGAGAGATCAAGTGTTTGTTACACACTTTGGCTGGTAGTCTTTGCATTGTGAGGAAGACCAGGGAATTGGTATTTAAAAGTGTTCATAGAACAAAGGTATTTTGCAATGTGTTGATACATGAGTTTAGTTCCTACAGTGTTCACAAATGCTGAGTAATGTACCATATTCAAAGCAGTTGGATTTATTATAAACAAATAATAAGTCTCATAAAACTTAATCATATTTGGCCTCAAGGAATATGTTACCTGGTGGCAAGCATCGAAACTATGCATGTTTTCCTGTTGTAGTTTGGGTCTTTTTGCAGAAAGACTTTTTTTTTTTTAAAGAAAAAAAGAAACAGCCGGCTTATGTGGATTTTTTTTCTTTCCCTTTAGGTTTCAATATTCAAAGTTGTGCTAATACAGTTGAACTACTGGTTCCTTGTAGAGAAATATTTCTATTGCTCTAGGCAGTTTCTTTCATTTTGAAAGTACAGTAAATGAAGATTAAGGCTTACCTCTGGGGCTAGATCTGGCACATCAGAGTTTAATGGATGTTACTAGGAAATCAGATTAAGCATCTATGTAGTCTTATGACCAGAACTTTTAGATCTTTCAGAGCTTGATATAAGTTAGTGATGGGCAGTTTTTATCTGGTGTCTTAGTCACAAGGAGTTGTAGGGTTGCCGAAGAAACAGTGAAAAAAATACAGGTTGGGAGTTGACATAACTAGGATTCAGTCTTAGCTTTACTACATACTAACCTTGCTCAGCTTTCTTATCTGCAAAATGGATAAAATAGGCTCATAAATGATATAATACTAAGGTGTTATAATAACAGTACCTACTTCCTAAGGGTGTTGTGAATACTAATGTACTGCCTATCACAGTGCCTAGCATATAGTAAGTCCTTGGTTAAGTTTCAATTTCCTTTAAGCAGTGAGACAGCCGGCCTTTTCCCAAGTTTTTTTTACTTACAAATTGAAGTGTTCTATAAGGATGCTCATTTTCCAGACTCTACTTCATGATCTGAGAGAACACCTTCTTGTTCCTGACAGAATAGTTAGGGGATTCTTTCCTCCA